AAACATTAAACATTCTTACATTTTTTCTATTTTTAATTGTTCATTTACTTGTTGATATTGATTTTGCCAATCTAATAATTCCTTTTGCATAATTTCTATATCTTCCTGTAAAGAGTCAGTTACATTATAAATGTAGTAATATAAAGTTTAATAAATAAATGAATACCTGAAAGTAGTCTAATAATTTTCCAAGTGGATTAGTTGCACGAGTTAAAGTTTGTATCGTATTACGTAGTTTGTCAATTTCCTTTGCAACTACGTCGCGCTTTAAACTTGTATCCCATGCCTAGCAACAAATTTATACTTCATTTAGTAAAGGATTTTACGTCGAAATGAAATAATGTCACGAAAAAAATAAATAGTAAATTAATTTAATTCTCCTTACAATGTTTGTTTTTTTAGGCATCACATCTACATTATCATTATTAACTAATTCTTTTTGTGTTTCTAATATTTGAGCAACAAGATGTCCATGTTCTTGTGTTAACTGATCATCAACTTTATAAGTACCACTATTTTCTAAAGAATCGCTGCCACCTTTAGTTTCCATAACTACCATATCTTCGGCATCATCATCTTTAAGATCAGAATTTTCTACGATAACGCTAATATTTCCCATGGGAAAAGTAATTTAAAAATAACTAACAATATCTCTTCATTAACTATTAGTTCTGCTTTTCCTCGTATTCTAGGTGCTGCAGGTCTGGCACTAATTGGTCTTGAAGTAGGAGGACGTAAAGAAGTTTTTGGTCTAGGATTTGATTGTGAAATACTGAAAGTGTTGAGCTTGATTAAGTTACTATTAAATGTTATGGTGATTAATTTTTGTCCAAAGATAAAATGTGTAGAAGATACCTAACATCATTATTTTCTGATTGAGATTTTTGGATTTCTGTCATTGATTGATCAGATTTTTCAGTATTTTGTAGGAAACCTTCATTATTTTTTATCTCATTTTCCTTGTGCTCTGCTTTTTCTGTACTTTCAATGATTTTATTATCTTTTGTAATTGTTGTAGGTTTAGATTCTGAATATACAGTTTCTGATGTATTGAGTATTTCATTTTGTGTTTCATTATTTTCAGCATACACTGTATGCTTTGATTTGTTTTCAGATTCCTTTTGTCTCTTGCTCTCATCTGTTTTCTTATCTGACAGAAAGGGTACTGTTTCAGATAATGATGTAGAGGATGTGCTCTGTTTAGGTTTAGCAGATGAAGATTTCTTTCTATGTGCAGATGAAGGGATTTTCTCTTGAGGC